CACTTGCAGTATACAGGGTTGTTTTCACGCTGCTCAGTCATTTGAAACCAATGAAAGTCTCTTAAGCCCCTCAGTAATTATGCCATTGTTGAGTTTCACTGCGGAGGTTTGATGTACAGACTCAATTAAAAAATGAATGGCCAGGGAAGGAGGCACAGCATGTTGGAACAGAAATGCACTGCAAGTGAGATACGGGTTTATGTACATAATTCACAAGTGAGCGAGAGGAGCTGGGTTCGATTCTCAGGCAGTGCAAAACGTTGGGTAAGTTTCTTTACTCCACATGCATCTGTTTACCTAGCAGTAAGTAAGGACCTCGTCCCTCAGGGCTCTGTCCTCGGTCCCCTCCTTTTCAGCCTCTATATGCTCCCCCTTGGTGACATCATCCGCAGACATGGAGTTAACTTCCACATGTATGCGGATGACACCCAACTCTACCTTTCCTCCTCTACCCTCAACTCCACGACCACCGATGTCCTGACAGTCTGCCTGTCCGACATCGAGTCCTGGACGAGAGACAACTTTCTTCAGCTCAACGTGCGCAAAACTGAGGCCCTCCTGATTGGCTCACGTCAGCGCCTCCGCACCTCAGGCGCTGACACCATCAGCATCCAAGGCTGCACTCTCCACCTCTCAAAGCCGTCAGGAACCTCGGGGTTCTGTTCGACCCTGAGCTGTCCTTTCTCCCTCATATCCGCGCCACAACTGGCACCGCCTTCCATCGCCTCCAGAATATCGCCAGACTACGGCACTACCTCACCCCTCACGCTGCTGAAACTCTGGTCCACGCCTTTATCACCTCAAGGCTGGACTATGGGAACTCTTTCCTCGCCGGCCTTCCCGGCACCTCCCTCCACAAGCTGCAGGTCATTCAGAACTCTGCAGCTCGTGTACTGTCCCGCACCAGGCTTCGGGACCACATCACTCCCACCCTCGCTCGCCTCCACTGGCTCCCCATCCCCCAGAGGATCGAATTCAAGATCCTCATCCTCACCTACAAGGCCATTCACGGCCTTGCTCCCTCCTACCTCTCTGACCTACTATCCCCCTACCTACCTGCCCGTACCCTCCGTTCCTCTGGCTCCGGTCTGCTCCACATCCCCCGCCCCAACCGCCCTACCATCGGTGGCCGGGCCTTCAGCCTCTCAGCCCCCAGGCTCTGGAACTCTATCCCCCAGTGCCTTCGCCGCTTCCACCCTTTCCTCCTTCAAGGCCGGTCTCAAGACCTTTCTCTTTGACCGTACCTTCAGCTCCCCTCTCGACTCTCTACCCCCTCCTCGCTCCCTCCCTTCCCTCCCCTCACCCTGACCATTTCCCCCCTGCTCAGGTCCTGACCCAACTGTACAGCGCCTTGGGACGTCCTCCTGACGTGAAAGGCGCTCTATAAATGGAACCTTGTTGTTGTTATTTGTCGATTGGCGGACTGCTTTTCCGGGGTAATAATAAATAAATTATAATAATTTGTTCACTCAATCCACGACTGTTTATGGAACACTGCTGTGCGAAAGTGGCTGGGGTCCACAAACATAGTCAATTTACTTTACAGTATATTCTGTGAAGCACTTTGACACCTCTTGAAGATGTGATAAGGGGTTATATCAAATGCAAGGATTATTATTAATTCTCACAGAACGTGTTCCCACTGACTAGGAGGTACTGAATAGATTTCATAGGGAGAGACAACTGTAAGGCCCTCATTCTAGGCCAGCCTCTTAACCATCCAATTTAGACTAAGGACAATGGAAAATAAAGAGGAAAAAGTATAAATGCTTCAAAAAGAGAATGTGATTTTTAAAAACAAAGCTGAAATGAAACACTAGAATGACCCAGAAGTTAACTGTTTGGTGCTTATAATGAACCTTTAACTTCATTTGTTCAGTTCCTTACAGTACCTTCACTTAACCACCTCAAAGGCCCTTTATAAATAAACAGATATTTGTAGTGCATCATAATTTGATGGATGCAGGTCGGCTCCTTGGCATTGTTTGCTAATTATACTTTTAGGTTCACTTACAAAAGCAGGTCTCTATGAATAGGTGAGTTCCAACTCAGCAGCTAGAAATTCCACTTATTCTTAGTGTCTAAGACCATTTCCCTGGCAGGGCAAGATATTAGTGTGACATTAGCACACATATATACATCTTACCATGGGGTATCAGCTTGGTCAGTTGGTAGCATTCTTGCCGCTGAATCAGAGGGTGTAGGTTTAAGACCCACTTCAGTACTTGGAACTCCTATAGTCAAGACTGATATTCCAGTGTCAAACTGTGGGTGTGCTGCTTTGTCAGAGGTGCCGTTCTTTGCATGAGATGTTAAAGCAAGGTCCTGAGAGCCTATTCAGGCAGATATTAACGATTAGAGTACTCGCCTCACAAGCAAGAGACCTGGGTTCGCTTTCCAGTAGGGCGATACTTTGGGCAAGTTTCCTTACTCCACATGCCTGGTTACCTAGCAGTAAGTAGGAACCTGGTTGTTAGTCGATTGGCGGATTCCTTTTCCGGGGGTAATAATTCCTTCAAAAAAAATAATAATAAATTGGTCACTCAATCCAGGACTGTTTGTGAGACACTTCCGTGAGCAATTGGCTGCCGCGTTTCACCCGCAAAATTTAGTCAATTCACTTTACGGTTTATTCTGTGAAGCACATTGTGATGTCTCGAAGACATGATAAGGCGCTATATCAAATGCCGAGATTATTAATGTCCGAAAAGAGAGTTTTTGCTGGTGTCCTGGCCATCAATTCCCCAATAAAATTGATCCCTCACTTCATGGCTATTTTGTGGCACTTCACAACCTTCTCGTGCGCAACATGGCTGCTGTGTTTGCCCACAAAACACACACTTTACATTATATCCTGTGAAGCAATTTGAGACATCCTGCTGATATGAATGGCACTATACCAAATGTAAGGATATTATTAAGAATACGTTACCGTGAAGCTATATTTAACTCCCTATCTATACTCATTTACAGAAGTAACAGTACTTAAAATGAACTGTCAGTCACTAATAATATCAATAATATCACCATTCCATCAATAATACTGTGCTTACTTTTGATATACAACTTCATTATGTTATAGCTTCATATTTTTTAGAGTAACATTTGTTGTATGTCTGTTATAATATAGCAACACTCCATAAACAACAGTGAGATGAATGGCCACTAAAAACTGTATTGTTTATGACTGTGATGGGGAAGGAATGCTGGCCCAAACGTTATTGCTGCAGAACCTTTAAATTCCACCTTTGAAAGCCAGACGGTTGCTTAGTTCAACATGTTATTTGAAAGGTGGTGCATTTAACACTGTAACAGATCATTTCACCTCATCTTACTCAAGGTATAAAATTCTGCATTCTATTGTGTACAGGAGCCTAACCCTCCAAAATTCCAGTATTAATGGTCATGAAAATGTTTAGGTGTCAGCCTGGCTCAGTTGGTACCACTCTCGCCTATGAGACAGATGGTTGTGGGTTCAAACAACATGTTGAGACACTGAGCTCAGAATGGGTTAAAATTCCAATTTGATGTTGTGGGAGGACTACATTATTCAAGATGTTGATTTTTGGATGAGACTTTAAACCAAAGTACTGTTTACCTGTTCAGGTGTATGTTAAAGACCTTATTGAAAAGAGAAGGGTCTTTCTCCAGGTATCCTGGCCGATAATCCCATAGATAAAATTGGTAATTCACATCGTAGCTCTTTGCAAATCATAAATTATCTGTTGCACTTACGTACAAAAATAGGCTTTCACCATAGTCTTTCACTTTCCAGTAAGTGTTACAAGATGTCCTCCCACTGGGAAAGGCACTCGATCAAATACAAGTCATTCTTATCAGTAGAGTTCATTCACGAGAGCTCTTCTGGATTGGATTTTGGAGCTTACTTCTAGCACCCCTTGGAGTCTTGTTTTATTCTCTTTTGTTATTGATAAATTAAACAATGTGCATGCATTCTTTAAGGGTCACTAACATCTTAAATTTGGTTGAATTATAACAAGGTTTTCTTGTGCATGGATTTTGTTTCACGTTTTTGGCAGTTACTCGTCTATTCTACTCTTCAAGAGGAATAGAGACACTACCCGCGTGAAGAGTACTATATAAATGCAAGTTATTGTTATTCATGTTACCTGTGTATGTTATGTAGGAAAATAGATCAATCAACTCTTTAGAAGATCTATATGCTTTATAAAACCTCCTGTAAACTTTGTCCCAACTGTTGACTAGTAGGGGAACAAGGAGGGGAAGTTAGGTGGACAGAAATAGTATGGGAATGGGTTTAAGTGATAATAATAGTAATCCTTGCATTTGCTAAAGCACCTGATCATGTCTTCGAGATGTCTCAAAGCGCTTCACAGAATATACTGTAAAGTGAATTGACTGCATATTTTGTGGGTGATGAAAGAGGAATGTTTACAAGTACAATATGTTTGACGAAGCATCGGTAAGCCAGATTTAACCAAGAAGAAACAATGGGGTGAGGGAAGAATCAAAAAAGAGCCTTTCTTTATACGTCCAGAATTCACGATAACCACTATTGACACTGGAATACTCCAGGATGTTTTGGCAATTTATTACGAAAATAAATGAAGTACCCATAGTTTGAAGGTATCAAATATCAAATTATTTTTCAAGCACTTTCTGAAGAGAAATCATTAAGGCCCAGCTGGCTTGAGTACCATCAAATTAATAACCTATAAATTAATAAAAAGCTAATAGTCCACAGCAATGGTTGGACTTCCCTGAAATGGAATCGATGCAACATCATGGTTGTAGGCGAAATATTCTAGCACTCTCCAAATTTCACAAACTCAAAAACACACACCTTTTGACCAACAGTAAACAGCAAACATACTTAATCCAGAACATCTTTAGTTTTAGGAAAATAAGTTATTTAGCAAATTTTGTCTGCTACATGATCAAATTTACCTTCTATTGTTTAATTTTGTGTGACCATGTTTATAAAGATTTTTCCCCCCCAAATGAAAATGGACCGTCATGATGTTACAACAATTTTATTGAAACAGAAAGATTGCCCGATATATAGCAAACAAAATACAGAAGTATTTGGTGGAAAAGCTGTTTGTGAACCATGTTTGGGGATGTTTAAAAAAAATACACTAAGACAATGGGAGTATTTTATTTGCCAAAATATTGTCGAGAATTAAAAGCTTGTCACAAAAATAAAACTATGTGCAGGCTCATTTTAGGCACTTAAGCCAGTCCAGTAACATCTGCTTTAATGTGTGGTTTGAACAATAAAGAAATCAAAATGGCAAGGTAATTTGGTCATTCCAAATTCAGAGATTGGCATGCTGAGCAAGAAAAACTCTTATCTTTTGCAAGAGCTCTTTCTTCACACTGTCTGGCACAAGGGCTGAAAGACAGAAGTTGTAAGTAGTCAAAAACATTGTTTTTTTTTAAAAAAAGGAGATTACAGGCATATATACACCAATTATACTTTGTTATTTTTGAACATCATTTATACGGCCGGAAAATAAGTTATTTCAATTTCAGCAATAAAACAGCGATTTAGTGCCAATTTGTGAAGAATACTGATCAAATACAACACCAACTAGCATTTATATAGAAATCTTGTAGAATACTGCTTTAGAGAACTTTAGTGATATACACACAAGCTGAGCAGAGTAGGAGAGTTAAAGGAGGGATCACCATTGGTGCAGTCAAAGTGGTAGATATTGAAGAGGGACTTGAAGACCGATAGAGAAGGAACTGAGGGAGGGAGTTCCAGAGTGTAGGGGCATATCTCAAGATAACTGAATATTTGCAAAACAAAACTTTGTTTATATAGTTAAAGTCTCAATACAATTTTATACAAAATTGCTCAAAAATGATGGATGCGTGACTGAAATGAGGGGGGCGGAGCAAGGTGGGGGGGGGTTGGGGGAGGAGGGGAAAGATGACCGAATACGTGGTCAAGAGTATTTAAAAAATATTTAATATATACATAAAATATATTTTCACAAATATTTTAAAATTGTTCTATATCATATTGCATTGATCTGGTGATATGGACCGTGTTGGAGTGACGTCCTTCAGATGAAACAAACTCTAAAACCATGGTATCATCTGCTTGTTCAGTTGGACATTAATGATCTGATGACACTATTTGAAGAGTTTTGCCCAGTGTTCATGCCAAAAATTTAGTGTTTGTCTAAAAATAGAGTTAGTGCTTTTGACAGCAATTAGCTATTAAGCACTTTTGATAATCTTGAACATCATAGACCCCATTTCAAAATGCAGGGACTATTTATTAATATTCTTCGTAACTTAAAAAAGCTTGACATACCTCGACCTTTTGGAGTTATTTCTGACACCAAATCATCCACCGTGACGTGTTCTAATCCTCTCTCTCTGATCACATCTGGAGGAGGAAATAATTTCAGATCAGAAAGGATATAATCTGCTCAGGAAGGAGATAATCTGCCACATGAACACGAAGGGCCCAATAAAGGAGTTTAATTATTTGTTTCAAAGAATAAACTTTGAGATTAGTCAAATACATTATACACTATCAAAATATAATTTTTTCAGTTTCTAAGAACATCTGAAATGTTGCGCATTAAACCTCCAGGTTGGGTCTTGTAATCAGAATCCAGGCTGATATTCTAGTATAGTAGTGGCAGAATGGGCCATGTTTTGAATGAGACATCAAACCTGTCTGTCCTCAGGTGAACATAAAAAAAANTATTCAAAAAGAGAATGGAGTTTCTCTTGGTGTCCTGTCCAATCACCCTCCATATTAGTCAATTATTCATTTCGCCCACAAAATATACAGTCAATTCACTTTACAGTATAGTCTGTGAAGCGCTTTGAGACGTCTCGAAGATGTGATAAGGCGCTATATCAAATGCAAGGATTATTATTATCTGATGATTGTCTGTGGGACCTTGCCTTGCATTCAAAAAAGTCACTACACTTGGACAATAATTACTATAAAGCACTTTGAAATGTTTCTAGGTACAAGTTCTTTAGTCCCTATAACATAAAAGGCAACAGTTATTAAGATAGTAAGAGGCAATTGGGCCCTTTTTTAATGCTTTTCAAACCAGCTACTTGCCTTCTGACCATCTCTCAATCCCTTCTTTTACAAAACATATACACAGTAGTTGACTCTTGAACCAATTTATACCTTGTTTCAATGGTCTCCACTGCTAACTTTTCCACATGTCTATTATCATTTGTGTAAAGATGTTTCTTATGATTTGACATTCTGCTCCTTGATACCTTATACATTACCTTTACAGAGTGCTTTTAACTGATCTCTCCATCCACATTCAATAAGTTTTGTTCGAAGTAAATCCTTCAGACTATGAAAAAGGCAGACCAGAATGAATATACAGAGCATATACTGCAGAAATTAAAATGCATTTAAGCTAAAATAATGGACACCATCTCACCGATCTCGTTCTCCTGTTTCTACCAGCCTCTGATTTATAGTTGCTCGTAGTTGTGTGTCTTTACTGGGTGATCGTAGGTCTTTACTCATTTTGGAAACCTACTAACTGAAATACATTAATGAAATTCTGAGGTTGAGAAGTACAGAAAAAACCCTTACTACAATTATCACTTCTGCAACATGCACAAAAGAGCAAGTGAGGCAAATCAGAATATAATTAAGGTATATGTGTGGACCAAGTGTACAAAAGAACAAAACTTCCACTGTTCTGAATAAGAACTGATATCTACTTGATAAGAGCCAATTGAGAAGGATCAGACATGTTCTTAGCTGTCATTAAGATTATGTTGTACTATACAGTAAAACGTACACAAGTCATATCAGTCAGGACCATCACATTTAATATGACTTATCTGAAATTGCAGGCAAACTGGTGTGTCATAAAATCCAATTTAATCAATAATCTACACTACACATGCGGAATTCAATGCAGCCGGTAAATGCACATGGGGTAGATAGTTTGTCACTAAAGTTGGTAAGTGCACATGTGGCGAAGCGGCGAGCCTACTTTTCTCACGATTCAATGTACCTTGATCCGTCCCCGCATTCACTTACCGTCAAGAATTAGAATTGCATTGAATCGAGGGAGATGAAGTTCTTCTGAGTAGGTTTCCAGTTATTCAATGCAGCCGGTAAGTGCAGGAGTAATGGAGTAATAGGGGAGTTGCGTTACGAGTTAGGAGACGATTAATACGACTAGTGGAAATAAATAAGTGGTTTTGGTAGAAATCTGAATGGGACTCGGGCGATTGTACGACTTAGGCGATTATACAATTAACAAAGATAAAACTTATGCAAGTTTTACTGTAGATTTTTTTAAAATGTGAACTAATGATTTGTGTTTCTAAGCTAATTGAATTGATACAACAATCATTAACTATCACGATTTAAAAAAACACCTATGCAACGAATGTACCACTAATATGGTAAAAGTACACGAACTTCATTAGCCAAAAATAAATTATAACACACCAGCCCAAGATTGATGAATCACATTGGGAAAATAAATAACTGCCACTGCAATGTGTACCCATTTCTTATATATACACCAGATGGAAGCTGGAACAGCACGCTCTACAATTTTTTAAAAAAAGACTGAAGAGGGCTATATTGATAACATGCTTTTCCCAGATCAATTCACAGGCCTGGTTAAACTCAAGAAGTATGTGGAAGATGCAGGATAAAGAAGAATGGAATAATGGACGCGTGAACAATTTTAGCAATGGAGATGAGATCACTCCAATTTAGACTACAGGAAATGTGATAATGTAAGAACAATAAAGTAAATAAATAAAGGACAAAGAGTGTAGCCGTCAAGGGGAAGATGTGATAACTGCTGTATATGAAATACACAAATCTTTAAAAAACTGAAAGAAATAACAACTGCATCAGTTAGCCTGAAGATCAAATTGTGGCGCTTGAGCAGATAGTTGTCGCCTCCCCCACACCCCCATCACCTAGTCTCTCTCACCCCCTCCCCGTCACCTAACCCTCCCCGCCCCCCCTATCACCTAGACTCTCTCCCCCATCCCCTCCGTCACCCAGTCTCTCCCCCCGCCCCCTCCGTCACCCAGTCTCTCCCCCCGCCCCCTCCAATACCCAGTCTCTCCCCCCCGGTCGCTCCGTCACCCAAGCTCTTCCTCCCCCTCTCTCCGTCACCTAGTCTCCCCCCACTCCCTCCGTCACCTAGTCTCCCCCCCACTCCCTCCGTCACCTTGTCTCCCCCCCGGCCCCTCCGTCACCTAGTCTCCCCCCCCACTCCCTCCGTCACCTCGTCTCCCCCCCACTCCCTCCGTCACCTAGTCTCCCCCCCACTCCCTCCGTCACCTAGTCTCCCCCCCACTCCTCCGTCACCTAGTCTCCCCCCACTCCCTCCGTCACCTAGTCTCCCCCCACTCCCTCCGTCACCTAGTCTCCCCCCCACTCCCTCCGTCACCTAGTCTCCCCCCACTCCCTCCGTCACCTAGTCTCCCCCCCACTCCCTCCGTCACCTAGTCTCCCCCCACTCCCTCCGTCACCTAGTCTCCCCCCACTCCTCCGTCACCTAGTCTCCCCCCACTCCTCCGTCACCTAGTCTCCCCCCCACTCCCTCCGTCACCTAGTCTCCCCCCCACTCCCTCCGTCACCTAGTCTCCCCCCCACTCCCTCCGTCACCTAGTCTCCCCCCCACTCCCTCCGTCACCTAGTCTCCCCCCCACTCCCTCCGTCACCTAGTCTCCCCCCCCCCCCCCCCTCCCCCCCCACTCCCTCCGTCACCTAGTCTCCCCCCACTCCCTCCGTCACCTAGTCTACCCCCCACTCCCTCCGTCACCTAGTCTCCCCCCCCACTCCCTCCGTCACCTAGTCTCCCCCCCACTCCCTCCGTCACCTAGTCTCCCCCCACTCCCTCCGTCACCTAGTCTCTCCACACACACAGTCCCCCTCATCTCCCCCCACCTCCTCCCCGTCTCCCCCCACCTCCTCCCCGTCTCCCCCCACCTCCTCCCGTCTCCCCCCCTCCTCCCCTCCCCCCACTTCCCATTCACCTCTTCACCTTCCCCCCCGTCTGGCCCCACCGCCCATTAGTCTCCCCCTTCACCTTCCTCCCCCCCACCTCCCCCTCGTCTCCCCCCACCTCTCCTCCCCACACCATCTCCCCCCCCTCCTCTTGTCTCCCCCCCCACCTCTCCTCCCTCTTGTCTCCCCCCACTTCATCTCCTCCTCCCCACCTCCTCCTCCCCCTCGTCTCCCCTCACCTCGTCTCCCCTCCTACCTCCTCCCCCTGGTCCCTCCCACCTCTCCCCCCCTGGTCTGCCCCGCCTCGCCTCCCCCCCTCCGCCATCACCTCGTCCCTGGAGCTGCAGGAAGCCTTCCCCCGGGAGAGCACTTCCCCAGCTTCCCTCACTCTGCTTTTCTCTATCCATCCTCATCCACTCTCTCCCTCTGTCATCCTCTTTCCTTACACTCCTCTCCCCTTCTCCCCCCTCCCACCACCTCTCTCTCTCTCTCTCTCTCCTCACCCTCTCCGCGTCTCGCACTCCCTCTCCCTCTGCGGCTGTTGTTCTGACCGGATCCAAGGCGACGGCGCAGGTGTTCCCCGCAAAACCCTCCCCCGTCCCTCCCGCCGCCTGAGCTCCCACACATTCGTTCCTCCTCGAACAAACAGTCCGCAGCCGTGAACAAGGTGGGTTGGGGTGGGTGTGCGTGTGTGTGTGTGTAGGGGGGGAAAGAGGCCGAGTGCACACAGAGTGTGAGAGACAGTGATTTAAATAAATATAAAAACAAACCTGATTCCGTCTCTGCCTTTTCGGGCGATCAACCGGAGAGAGAGACCGAGAAACACGATTCAATCCACAAACCCCCGAGAGACGGAAATCCCCGCGCGGAACTACATCTCCCAGAGTGCCGTGCGACGGCGCACGCGCGGTGAAGCTGGAGAGCGGGGGAAAAAAACCCGGAGTGGGCGGAATTGCGCGTGCGCGGTAACGGTCGGTGCTGACTGACTGACTGACGGGCCACACGATGATGAAGATGAAGGTCTCGGCCGCCAACTGCTCTCTCACCGTCAACAGACGGCTCCTGGACCCACAGTTTGAGAGTTATAAGCTGTCCTTGGACCCGCTGCCCACGTACAACGTGGAGTTGGATGGCGGTGAGTCACACAGAGGCTGTGAGTTGTCCTCCCCCTGAGCCCGGGGTGGGGGGGAGGGGAGGGGAGGGCGTGTTTTGTGGGCGGAAGGAGGCAGTTGCACACAGCAATGTCCCACACACAGCCATGGAGTGAGTGACCCCTTTTCTCTGCTGGTTTTGTTGGCCAGGACACCGGGAGGCACTCCCTTCTCTTTTCAGCGAAGACTCGGCTCTGGCGCCGCTCTGCAAAGCGACGGCCGCTGCCGCGGATGATGGCGAAGGTTGTGGGTTCAATCCCCGCGTTGGGACTTGGAATCACATAGTCTTAAGCGGACGCTCCAATACACTGCTGGGGATGTTTTGCATCGTCAGAGATGCCGTCCTTCGGATCGGATGTTAGACTGAGGTCCCGTCGGCCTCTTCAGGTGGACGTTAAAAGATCCCATGGAACTGGAAAAGAGGAGGGAGTTTCACCTGGTGTCCTGGCCAACAATCCCCAAATAAAATTGGTCACACACTCCATGGCTTGTTTGTAGGCATTCCTGTACTCTAACTGACTGCTGCGTTTCGCCCACAAAATCACAGTCAACCCATTCAGACGTCTCGATGATGTGAAAAGGTGATGTATTAAATGCAAGAATTATTATTATATGTTGCATAGAATTACATGAACTACACCATGTAAAGGGCCATTCATCTGAAGTAGTCTGTGTGTATACTTCACATAACCCCCAACTCCAACAACACGTGCACACACTTTAAATCAGGGATGGCCGACGTGCGGCCCATGGGTCGCATTGTCTGGATTGATACTTCAGTGCTGGGGATGTGCTAAACTGTTGGGAGGTGCCACCTTTCAGATATTTTTTGGTCAGCCTAATGTCTGACACATGGAAAACCATCACCATGCTTAACAGTACCCAAACCAAATTGAGAGTTACATGCCTCCCACCTGTACATAGATACTTCCGAGTTTATTGGAATGGAAACTCTTCACCCAACAATCCTCAAATAAAATTGATCATTCACTTCACGGTTGTTTGTGGGACATTGCTATACAATACAACAACAACTTGGATTTATATAGCGCCCTCCACGCTAGATGGCGTCTCAGAGCGCTTCACAGTAATGGATCCTGGGACCGAGCTAAGGGGAGGTGGAGGAAGGTGACCAAAGGCGCAGTCGAAAAGAAAGGTCTTCAGCAGAGACCTGAAAATAGGAAGGGAGGGAGCGAGGCGAAGGGAGTGAGGAAGGGAGTTCCAGAGCCTCGGGGCACAGTGGCTGAAGGCACGGCCGCCGAGGGTGGAGCAAAGGACTCGGGGGACAGGAGGAGGCCAGACCCGGAGGAACAAAGGCAACGGGTTCTGTTTTGAGGAGAGAGGAGGTCAGAGAGGTAGAGAGGTGCAGAGGAGTGCAGGGACTTGAATACAATGGTGAGGATCTTGAAACCGATCCTCTCTGGGACAGGCAGCCAGTGCAGTCTGACAAGGAGAGTAGTCCAGGGTTTCAGCGGTTTTTGGAGTGAGGTATTGGTGGAGATGGGCGATGTGTCGGAGGTGGAAGAATGTGGTGCTGGTGAGGGACCAGATGTGGGGGAGGAAGGATAATTGGGGGTCAAACCTGATGCTTAGGTTGCGTACGGGTTCGGAGAGTTTTAGAGGGAAGTCGGGTACAATGCAATTTACATTTATATAGAGCTTTTACGTTGGGAGGACATTCCAAAGTGCCTTAACAGTATTGAATGGGCAGCCTGGATTGGGGGTGGGGGGTGGGGAAAGAAAATGGAAAGCACAATCAAAGAGGTATGTTTTGACTCATGCCTTGAAAGAGGGAAGGGAGTGAGCCGTGCAAATTGGCTGCTGCATTTGCCTACAAATACACAGTCATTACAATTTACAGTATATCCTATGAATACTTTGAAATATCTTCCTGATGTGAAAGCCCCAATATCCAGTACAGGGATTACTTTGTTCTCTTTTTGAAGAGTGTCTTGGAATATTTAACTTGCATTGGGGTCAGATTAATGTTTCGTCCAATGGACGGAAATACTCCGGGATTGATTGGAGTGTTAGCCTATTAGCTCTAAGTGTGAATGTGGGTATTTAACCCACAACCTTCTCACCAAGAAGCAAGAGTACTACCAACTGAATTTAGCTGATGCAAACAGAGCTAATTTGCATCAGCAACATCTTACAAATAACAACAGATAGCCAATTAATTAAAATTTGAGTGAATTTGGATGATTATTAACCAGGAGAAAAACTCTGCTTCTTTGAAATAGCAGAGACTATTAATGACCACCTGAATTGCAACACAGATAAAATCTAAATTAATAAGTCAATCAAAAAAANGATGATAAAGGACAAAGAAAATCACCACAATGCATTTTGATGTAAGCAAATCAAAGTCTTGGTAATACACATGATTGAAGAATGGCATACAGATTTTGTGTATAGGTTATTGACTATTTCAATTCTACTCTAATGTCTTGAATTGGATTCTAGTCTGCCAATTCTACCTTACTCGAATTGGTTTAGGATGTTGAAATATGATTATTTCATATTAACCTAGAATGGAAGGCCCTATATAAATTCAAAATTGTTGTATTTCACCTCCAAAGCTGTGCATTTTTCTGTAGTATGTAATTATTGATTATGTAATTGTTGATGTACCCAGACATATTGCAGATGTGTATCTTCAACACGATGTAGAATTAGTTTTGTTTACAAAAGTAAGCTATTTCAGAAATATTGGACGAAATACGTGTGCCATCCATGATGTATTGTCAATATTTGTATGCGTTACAAGTACAGTAAGCTCCTGATAACTCAACCCAGGCTTAATCTGTCACGACCATTTAAGTCATCATGCTGTCAATATCCCGGCCCCTTTATGTATTTACACATATGCCTAACTCACCAATCTGGAAAACGTGTCAGTGAGCTGTTTTCCCTTGGAGTGACACGTTTTCAGGAGTTCACAGTACTTTATTGGTGGTTTGTTCCTAAATATTGAGATTGCAATATCTTTATTGGGCACAGTGTGGTGTGCATGAGCTATAAATTAAGAATGAAGCACATTGAATGAACTATCTGTATCACCTACAGTTGATCCCAGTAGAATTCCCAGTGGTACGATTCCGCTACCTACAATGTTATTTAAAATACTGCATAATTAGCTTTATAGTTTTGCAGCATTGTTACCAGTACTTCATCATAATTAAGTTTGAATGATCTGAGGAGAAACCAGCTTGGCCTTGTTACAGGTACAGTAGCATCTTATATATCAGGTGGTCCAACTGAAGCCAGTGGGCCGCATCCAGTCCATGAACCATTTCCAACTTCGGGCCACCTGGCCACCCTCCCTCCCCGCTAAATGTCCTCTTATGGCAGCAGCAGGAGCCAGCAGTTGGGAGGACGCGATTGGGAAAAGAGACCCACTTGCTTTTCCCTCAGCTCAAGAGGGACGTCCAGACAGACTGGAACAGCAGGCAATATTTCCATTCTTGCAGCTTCAATGCTATACATTATAGAGTCGTAGAGCTCACTATTCTCCTTGTTACTGTATATGAGAAACAGATCCCCAGATTCAAATCCTGTTAGTTTCTAAGCTGTTTGCCTTTTCAAGTTGATACAATAGGTAACGAGTCTTGTTTTTTTTAAAAATCCCCTTACAGGGAAATATCTCTCTGATTGGTCTGAGTGTCCTTTGATGAGATTGGTTTGGAATAGATTCAAGTCTCCCTTGATGGTGGACTCGAAAATTGTATTTGTAGAGTAAGTTAAACCAGATGCTGGGTTGTATTAAAAGGGCAATATTGAGCTGAATTAGTGGGGTAACCCTGCAACTTTATAAATCACTGGTGCGACTGCACTTGGAATGCTGTGTGCAGTTCTTGTCACCGCAATATAAAAAAGATATTGCAGCGATTGAGAGGATACAGAAGAGGGCAACCAAAATAATTGAGGGGATGGAGGGATTGGACTATGAGTAGCGATTAGGTAAACTGGGCATGTTCACGCTGGAGAAGAGAAGATTGAGGGGCGATATGATTATGGGCTTTAAGATTCTGAAGGGACAAGATAATGTAAACCGTGATAAGCTGTTTTGTCATGTACTGAACAGTAGAACCCGAGGACAAAGTCTGTGATTGAAAGGGGGTAAATTCAGAACAAACTGCGGAGATACTACTTCAGTGAGTGAGTAGTAAACTTATGGAGGAGGCTCCTCTGGGAGACGGTGGAAGCAGAAAGTGTTGCTTGTTTTAAGAACAAATTACATAGTTTCTGCTTGAAAATAATATCCCGGGATGCAGTACCTGTACATAGCTCGGGCAACAACATGTCAAGTAACTGCCAGGATAATGGAAGGCTAACTAGATGGACCTTAGTCTTCTTTCGTCTAGCAAATTCTTATGTTCTTGCATGCTTAATCATGTGAGGTAGTATAGCTCTATGGATGGGATAGGAGGGGCATTCGTGTGGAGTATAAACAACGGCTTGACTGGATGGGACAAATGACCCGTTTTTGAGTTGAACCTTACGTGAATCTATGAAACCTCGTCCCTTCCATTACCTTGTTCCCAATGCAAGCAAAACCCTCATCCATGCCTTTGCCACCTCTAGGTGACATTTAATAATAATAATCCTCGCATTTGATATACGACTTTTCATGTCTTCCAGTGAATTGACTGTATATTTGTGGGCGAAACGCAGCAGCAAATTGCACACAGCAGTGTCCCACAAACAGTCGTGGATTGAAGTGACCAATTTTTTATTATTTTTTTCTTGAGGGATTATTATCAGGCGTGTGGAGTAAGGAAACTTGCCCAAGGTTTTGCCCTGCCGGGAATCAAACCCACGTCTCTTGCTTGTGAGGCGAGCGCTCTGACCACTGAGCTACAGGACCCCACATTTGTGCACGCCCTGCTACAACTCTACCCTTTACCCCAGCTCTGCCCTCCACAAGCTCCAAATCATTCAGAAATGCAGCATGCATCATTTCCTGCACTAAGCTCCACTAGCCCGTTACGCTGACTCTCACCCATCTCCACTGGCTATCTATTCCCCAAAAGATGACCTTGTTTTTTCATCCAAATGGCTCCATGGCTTTGACGCACCTGATTTCCTATGACCTTACTCCTCTGGTCATTCCCTTTGCCAACCATGGCCTTCTTTTTGCTCCCCCACTCATTTGTCCCCACTGTTGACTGAGTAGCTTTCAACACTGTTTCTGCCCTATGGAACTTTCTTCTGAAATTCTTTTGCCTTTCAAAAGCAATCCAAGCCCATCTCTTTGATTGTGCCTTCAGCTATCTGCCCCATTATCTAACTCCCACTCCATCTTTGTAAAGTGTTTTGAGACGTTATCTGCATCTGATAGTGGAAATTGCTGTTTCTACTCCTATGTTCCTGTTAAAACTGCTATAAAATACTGTGAAATGTTTTCTGCTAATTTTACATTCTTGAAAACATTAGTTTTAGGGAATGTTTGAACTCTGAATACCTTTCAAAAACTGATACCTCTTATAAAAATGCCATGCAGATGGAGTTGATCCCTTCAATTGTTTTGGATCTTGTGCTTGCATTTTTGAAAGCGGTACAGAAAATTGTAATTCAAATTCTTTACAGTTACAAGTTAAAAAGGAAAATTCATGAAAAGGCATTTCATTATCATTGTAGGTTTATTTTGATTAGTCATTTTTTTTGCTTCAGTACTGTATGACCTACAGTTGAAGAATAATTTGGCTTTGAGAGTTTTTACATAATAAAGACATTGCAAATGAAAATGAACGACTTAAAAGCTAGTGTAGGAAGCATCAGTGACAATTCTGTATACAGACTGTGCTGATAAGCATTCTAAAATTGAAATGCAAGTCACTTCAATTATATTTTGTTTATTTTTAAATGGCACAAGCTGCTGGAAGTACAAAAATAAATCACTAAATTATTGACTTTTAACAGAGTGTATTTTAAATTGAAAGTATTATTAGATATGCGTGCTGTACATAATATTTTAGATTTAACTATTTAATTAATCCTTTGATACATTGTTGAGAGACGTTGATATACTGTGTCTGGGTAAAATAGCATGTGTTTAATCCGTTAGCCCTTTTTCGTAATTTTAAATGGCTTGAAACACTATGAAGAACATCTAACTGAATAAAAATCGTGGAAAGCAAAGTGATGATTTGGGAAACACACCCATCTCAGTCACATTGCTCGCCTCCGTCCGTACCTCGCAACATCAAAGCAGTCGAAACCCGCGTCCACTCCTTTGTCGGTTCCAGGCTGAATAATTCCAGGGTCCTCCTCGCTGGTCTCCCCAGCTTCACCATACACAAAAGTCAATTAATTCAAAACTCCGCCGTCTACTCACCTGCACAAAACTCTGTACCCCATTACACCAATCCATGCCCAGGCTCCACTGGCTCCCAATTACCAAACGGAACAATTTAAAAATCCCCTCACTCGTTTTCAAATCCCTTCATGCCGTCGCACCTCCCTAACATTTCCGATTTGTTTACTCCCCCACGCCACCACCCGCTGCCTTTGCTCGGCTGGCTCCGGTCTCCTGTTCGTCCCTTGTCCCCTCTTCTCCACCATCGGTGGCTGTGCCTTCAGCCACTACGCCCTGAAACTCTGCAATTCCCCCTCAGTCCTTCCACTTTGTCCCCTCCCCACTTTCAAATCCCACCTAAAGACCTTCCTTTTTGATCTCCCTCCTTCTCCCCTTGGCTTGGGGTCAGACTCCACCACTGTCAAACACTCCGGGACAATACCCCGTGTGAAGGGCTCTATATAAATGCAAGTTGTTGCTGTTTGTAGCCTTACTATTAAACTCTCCAGTAGATTATATCATTCTTTACCATTTTGCCTACAAAGTACACAGTCATTTACTTATGCTTATACACTTATAAGTATATCCTGTGAAGTGCTTTGAGACAACCTAATGATGTGATAAGGAGCTGCAACAAATGCAAGGATTATTATTATCTCACAAAGTTGGTTTTGCAAGAAACAATTGAATAATGGTGGCATTTTAGGAATGGTATTTCATTTGAAAATAAGTAATTGACACAAAGGTTCCTGTGACGTAGGAAAAAAATCAAATGTGCTCTTGGAACTGAGTAAAAGATAGCAGAACCAAGGTATATATGCTGGGACTAAATTTTGATTATGAAAGCTAGCTTCTAGTTCTTTCTGGTGTACAGTAAATCCTCAACAAAAAGCTCAGGGCTTTGATGGGGGCAGTTAATCAATTTGTGGAACAAAATGTTTGGGAAGTTGCTCATTCACTGAGTAAGCATGAAATGCTCATTCCTGTAAGCTAGATTCATCAATAAGCTACTTATGTCCCAATATCACATGTCAAAAGATGCCATTAAATCCAAAATATTACAGCTTGTATTCATTAACTAACAAAAAATGACTATTGTAACAATAATAATTCTTATATCTGATATAGCGCATTTCACGTCTCAAAGCATTTCAAAACATATATTGTAAAGTGGAGTGAATGTATATTTTATAGGCAGATGAGTCAGCCAATTTGCATACAGCAATGTCCCACGACTGGCATGAAGTGAATAACCAATTTTATTTGGGGAATTGTTGGCCAAGAGTCCAGGAGAAATTACCTTCTCTTTTCAAATTGTGTCATGGGATCTTTAATGTCCACCTCAATAGACAAACGGGACCTCGGTTTAACATCTTATCTAACACCTCCAACCCTGCAGCACATCCCCAGCACTGTATTGGAGTATCAGCAAAGGCGATATGATTTTGATGTCTCAAAGTGGGGCTTGAACCTCTGACTCGGAGGTGAGAGTGCTCCCGACTGAGTCAGGCTGACACACAAACATGATAATTTGCAAACAATATTTATGAATAGTAAGACTAGTTTGGTAAAGGACCTGGGACATATTAATATGAGTTAAGATACTCTTTACTCAAATTTGTGATTGCACATTCCAATCTCAGTGGGATGGATATATGAGGATATATGGGGTGGAGTCCTGTAGCTCAGTGGTCAGAGCACTCGCTTTGCAAGCGAGAGACCTGAGTTCAATTCCAGGCAGGGCGAAACCTTGGGCAAGTTTCCTTACTCCACACAGAGCCTAATACTAATCCCTCCAAAACCAAAAACAATAATAAATTGGTCATTTTCAATCTACGACTGTTGGTGGGACATTGCTGTGCGCAATTGGCTGCCGCGTTTTGCCCACAAACTGAGGTTCTATGCCATTTTGTGGTTATTATTTCTCAGCCACGTGAGGCTCTTGCTGAGCCACCTGTTTACATTTTTCAGTGTTGTACAAATTCATTTAAGCAGGCTATTATATCTAGAAACAAAATGTCTGTATTAAGTGCAAAAAAGGCATTTCTTTTTGTCGTCAAATGGCAATTGATCATCTGCTTGCATGTTTTTCAGCTGTAGCTGAGGTGAAACTGCGAGAGGATCAGTATACTCTAGACCACTTGTGTGTCTTTGGCATGTATAACTATCTCCACTGTGATAGGTGGTATCAAGACAGTGTCTACTACATTGATCAACATGAGAGAATAATGAATTTAGCTATCACTTTGGTAAGTATCATAAATAGACCTGCATTTATCTTCTTGAAAAGTGTATATACCTACAGTTTGATTACAGTTTTGAGACTAAGCCATTGCTATTATAAAGGAAGATGAAGAATAATGCAGAGAAGGCAGATTTTTGCAGAATGCTACGTCCCATCTGCAAGAAAGTCAGGAAATTCATTGATGAACATAATATGTTTGCAAGTAGGATGGGTTGCTTTCTTGCAGTTCTTTTCTACAATTGAAGCTTCAACTCAAATGTACGTACATGGTCATACATTGTCATTTGTGACAAGTTGCCTGTGCCCTTGAAGATAAATTCAAAAATTCTCAAGTCCATCAGAAATTCCAGATTTTATAACCAATTTGTGTGTGATAATTTGGGTACATCATGATATAGAACACCCTCAATGTACAGAAGCATATCTAAACTACACTGTGGCTCAACCAGCAAATTCCTTAGTATAGTTCTCCATATTAACTATCCCATTCTTACTGAATGCTGGTGGTGATTCAATCCCTGAGCACAGATTATGTTTACCATGTGAAATATGGCATTCCTCACAGTTTTCATCTTCACTGTTTTCTCATAGAGATTTCCTTGGGAAATAATGCAATTGTGATTTGTGATTTTAGTTGTTCAGTTTATAGCTTAGCTTTCACTCTCCACAGCCATTCCTGCACTAGGTTAAACAAAGACTATCCAGGTGGACATTAAAGATCCCATGGCACAATTTGAAAAGAGAAGGGAGTTTCTGCCAGTATCCTGGCTAGCAATCCCCCAGGTAAAATTAGCCATTCATCAAACAATTTGTGGGACGTTCCTGTGTACAAATTGGCAGCCATGTTTGCCTACAAAATACATACAGTTACACTTTAAGATATGTCATTTGAAGTGCTTTTGAGACATGTTGATAAAGTAATCTGTTTCAAATGCAAGGAATATTATTATAAAAGGCAGTAGATTTAAGTTCACAAGAAGACTAGTGATTTGAGTGAAGGAGATTCTCTGTCCATTTCATCCCATCCTTTGAGAATACCAACCCTACTGTCTTCCCACCATCAAGCAGTTTCTTAAATTATTCAATGTCCTGTCCTCAATAATTCTCTCTTGTAACCTGTTGAATGTACTCTGATTAAAGAAGTACTTTCTGGTGTGTTTTATTGCCTCTTCACAACCTTGAATTTCTGACTCTTATCCTGCTGTCTTGATGAGCCTTTTATTTTAACTATTAAGCATACTTAAACTTTTATAGGATCCTTTCAGAGATTTTTTTTCACATCTGAAGATCTCTGAATTATCTAGTTGCTCCAAATGATTTGTTACTCCAATACTCTTCAGAACTACCTCCAGGGCTTATATGGCCAGACTATACTACGGTACTTCAAGTGCAAACTGACCTCTGCAACTTTCACAGAGTTAATGCGATTTTATAACTCTAATCTAGGTTTTAATAAATCTGAATATAATATAAATATTTAGATATAAATATCTACACAGAGTACTATTTATCCTTTTCCCTCTCCAGCTTTCAATGCATGCAATCCTACACCAGAATTTTTTTAAAAGAAAGGCTCCATAGTGCTCTGTGTGGCAGAAAAACAATTTTGCAATTTTGTATTAATGGCCTATAACACTTTTGTATTTTTGTTACACTACAACCCTCCCATTAGAACATTACAGAATTCTGCCGAGTGTAAATTTTAAAATATCAATGATTATTCAGTTTTGGAGAAGAAAGAATTATTTTAAGATCAAGTATTTTAAAATTGGTTTTGATTTAATTTGTCTTGAGAAAAACAATACCAAATTACATTTGTATAATAATACAGATTATTATTATAATACAATTATTACAAATATTATTAATAATAAAATTATTATTATTTGGAGACGTCCCAAAGCGATTGACAGTTAGGGATTTGGACCCAAGCGGGGTGGGAGGGTGGCCGAAGGCTCGGTCGAAGAGGAGGGTCTTGAGACATGCTTTGAAGGAGGCAAGGGAAGTAGCTAGGTGAAGGGAATGTCGGATGGCGTTCCAAAGGGTGGGGGCAGAGAGGCTGAAGGCATGACCGCTAATGGCGGGCCCGGCCAGGTGGGGGACATGGAGCAGGGCACAATCTGCTGAGGGGAGGGATTGGACAGATTGATAAGGGGTCAGCAAGTCACAGTGGTCGGAAGGGGCAAGGCCGTGGTGAGGATGAGGATTTTGAACTATTATAGAAGTGGCTCAAGGTTTTTAAATTTAGTTGGCAAGTGACATCTGCTAACAAGCGTTGAGCAGTCTGCAGTCTAGTACCCTTTTATAAGCATTCTAAAACGTTAGACTTTGGACTTTCAATGTAACAGCCAAAAAGACTATTGTGATCCACTCTTGATTAAGTTTATTCATAAAACCGGAGATAGGCATAGAGTTGAGTTCAAGTGGATCTATTCTTAAAGCAGGCAGGACTCTTTTGACACTAGTAAGTGTTTGATTTGCCAAGTTTATTGGTACATTTCAGCATATATTCTGCCCCTACATTTCCAGACACACGAACAGAGCTTACAGGCCTTATTAGGTATGAATCTTAGAAGTGTAGTTAGGTAAGATGTGAATCAACCATCATTGGGCAAAAAACAGTCCCCCTCCTTTTAGACTATGGGTGGAGCATGGAAATAGATTGCATTTAATGCTAGAAGAGGAGCTGAAAGAGTGCAGATAAAGATGATTGAACTTCATAAAAGAGAAAAGGACAATGCTATGTGACCAACGAGGAGAGTGTCAATTTTGAATTCGGTGCAGTAAAATTACTACTTTGCCCCCACATCATCTGTCCCTCATGACCCACCCCCCACCCATTCCCCCCCTATACTCCTTCGACCCTATCTCTCCCTCCTCCCTCATCACGACTGTCTGCAAACTCAAACCCACTACCTGCTCCCTCGATCCCATCCCCACCTCTCTCCTCGTCTCCCAGCTCCACCTTCTGGCCCCCCTCCTGTCCGATGTCATCAACCTCTCCCTGTCCACCGGTTCAGTTCCCATCTCCCTAAAAACAGCCGTCATCACCCCCATCCTGAAAAAACCTTTCCTGGATCCATCCCTCCTCTCCAGCTACCTCCCCATCTCAAACCTCCCATTCCTCTCCAAGGTCCTGGAACGAGTCGTCGTGCCCCAGCTCCACTCCTTTCTCTCCCGCCATTCCTTCTTTGAAACTCTCCAATCCGGCTTCCGTGCTGCCCACAGCACAGAAACAGCCCTGGTCAAAGTCACTAATGACATTCTGAACATCTGTGACCAGGGCTCCCTCTGCCTCCTTGTCCTCCTCGACCTCTCTGCCGCTTTTGACACTGTTGACTACTCCATCCTCATACACCACCTCTCCGCTTTACTCAATCTTCACGGATCTGGCCTTGCCTGGTTCGATTCCTATCTCTCTCACCATCTCCACTTTGTTGCCTCTAACGGTTTCTCCTCCAGCCCCCGCACTGTCACATCTGGTGTCCCCCAGGGCTCTGTCATTGGTCCTCTCCTCTTTAATATCTACATGCTCCCCCTTTGGTGACATCATCCACAGACATGGGGTCAACTTCCACGTGTATGCGGATGACACCCAACTCTATCTTTCTGCCTCCACCCTCAACTCCAGGACCACTGCTGTCCTGACAGACTGACTGTCGGACATCAAGTCCTGGATGAGGGCAAATTTTCTGCTGCTGAATGTGAACAAGACTGAGGCCCTCCTGATTGGCTCGCGCCAGCGCCTCTGCACCTCAGGCTCTGGCAGCATCAACCTCCATGGTTGCACACTACAACGCACCGCCAGTCAGGAACCTAGGTGACTTGTTCGAACTTCAACTGTCGTTTCTTCTCCCCATCCAAGACATGACCCGCTCTGCCTTCCCTCACCGCCCCACTCCGCCACTACCTCATCCCTCAGGCCGCAGAAACTCTTGTTCATGCCTTCATCATCTCCAGGCTCGACTATGCAAACGCCCTGCTAGTCAGCCTTCCCAACTCCTCCCTCCACGGGCTGCAGATAATCCAGAACTCTGCAGCCCGTGTCCTCTCCTGCACCAAACTCCGTGACCCTATCTCTCCCACTCTCGCCCGACTCCATTGGCTCCCTATTCTTCAGAGGATCCAGTTCAAGATAAAGCAAAGCATGATGTGTTAAATAATATTAATAATCCTTGCATTTGATATAGAGCCTTATTACGTCTTCGAGACGTCTCAAAGCGCTTCACAGAATATACTGTAAAGTGAATTGACTATATTTTGTGGGCCTAATGTGGCAGCCAATTATTGAGTGACCAATTTATTATTTTTTTGAAGGAATTATTAGCCCTGGAAAAATGATCTGCCAATCACTAACAATCGGGTTCCTATTTACTGCTAGGTAAACAGGTGTGTGGGGTAAGGAAACTTGCCCAATGTTTCACCCTGCTGGGAATCGAAACCAAGACTCGATTGCGAGACGAGTGCTCTAACCATTGAGCTACAGGACTGTTAGCAGTACTGAAATTAAATGGTAACCTGCATATATTTATTAACAACATTCGATTGCATAAACTTTAAATGCTTGCTGTAATAATCCTTCCAAAAAAAACAAAAACAATAATAAATTGGTCATTTTCAATCTACGACTGTTTGTGGGACATTTGTGCGCAATTGGCTGCTGCGTTCGCCCACAAATATACAGTCAATTCACTTTACAGTGTGTTCTGTGAAGCGCTTTGGGACGTGCTCCCGAAGTGAAAAACGCTGTATCAAATGCAAGGATTATTATTATTATCCCAACTTTGCTAGGGTAGTATATAATAATTTTTGCATTTGATATAGTACCTTCTCATGTAGTTGAGACCTCTCATAGCGCTTCACAAGATTTTACTGTGAAATGCAGTCACTGTATTTATAGACAAGCGGAGTAAATAAAACCATACAGTTAATTTTAAGTAATAATAATTATCCTTGCCTTTGGTATAGTCCCTTTCACATCAGGAGGACTTCCCAAACGTTTCACAGGATTTATGGTGAAGGGCGGTGACTGTGTATTTGAGAGTGAACGCGGCAGTAGTGTCCGACAAACATCCATGGAACGAATGATCAGCTTTATCTGGGAGATTATCGGCCAGGACACCGGGAGAGACTTCTTTCTCTTTTCAAATAGTGCCATGGGGTCTTTAAAGTCTACCTGAACAGAACCTTGGTTTAACGTCTCATCTGAAGAATGACACAACCAACAATACAACACCCCCCAGCACTGTGCTGGAGTGTCATTTTAGGCTTTGTAAATTCAAGTCTCGATGCTGAGCTTGAACCCAGAAGCTTCTAATCCAGAGGCGAGAGTGCTACCATTGAGCCAGTCTGACATAGTACATGCAAGTCGAGAAATTTTTTGACATTTAAAAGCAATTTCTGTTGTTAAAGCATTTCTATGATTTATATTCTCCTCCTTACTGGTTATTTGCTGGAGCAATTCATGATTTTCATCTAACTCCTGCATTGACATTCCCTTTGTAGTACTGTAACATATGTGGATCTGTAGTATCTGTAAAGTACTGAAGCATAAAATTAACAACTGTTGCTATAATGGAGAGTTGCCTTTAGCTGGACTGAATACGTTCACTCATTTGTCAAGGCAATAAATTGAGATGAAATGTTCACTAGTGCTTATCCTAAAAAAACTAATTTTAAAGTGAACTGTGAAAGATTTATGCAGTTGTTTGCTTATTTGGAGGGAAGGAGTGAAGAGAGAAAAGGAGGCTTGGTTTAAGAAAATAAATTAGAGAACTGACTAACTTTTGGTACCTTCTGGAGGATATTGACTGCTTGAATTAATACTTGGTTAAGTATAGCATGGAAACAAATTGGCACATAACAAATGTAGTGGAGAAGGGAGGGGACTAAGAAAGTTTGAGTACTGACACACAAAGTGATGGTGACTTTCAAAGAACTGTCAATGAAAAATTGATGAAATTTAAGTAGAATCACGGGAGACAGACTAGGGTTAAACGAGATTCTGTTGTGGTTTATGGAATTATTATCCTCGATGGTTTAATAACTATTGTTCTTGGGGGGTAAGTCATTGTGTTGGACAATTGTAGTTTTCCCTCTTTATTTTTTCCCCTCTTCAATGTTCCTTTCGAACCAAAGAATAGCTGGGCAGCTTTCTGAAAGTTTTTCATTGTTTCTTTCAAACCAGCTACAGAGGCTATCCTGTTATTAGCTGTGTCACTAAATAATAATAATCCTTGAATTTAATATAGTGCCACGTCTCCAAGAGGTCTCAACGCACTTCACAGAATATCTGTAAACTGAATTGATTATATTTTGTAGGCGAAATGCAGCAGACAGTTGTGCACAGTAGTGTCCCACAGTCGTGAATTGAGTGACCAAATTATTATTTTTTTGAAGGAATTATTCCAAAAAATAAAGCACAAGTTATTTTAAAATATAGGAGCGTTTATTATCAGAAGTGTAATAAATGTCTGGCTCTGGTCTGGACTAAATTACTGTATATCTGTGTGCAAGAGGCCAGCTAGAGAGCTGTGACTGCTCTTGCGATAATGTTTCATGCTCTAGAAACACAGCTCAAACAAGCGACGACCTGACAACCAGAAATTGAGTGGTGGCTATTATTTTTAATTTCTGGATCTGAAATACTGAGTTCTAATGAGTTTGCTGTGTTCTATCTTTAGGCAACGTGTGTTTCTTATCTTATGTATTGTGTATAAATACATCTCTGGTACTCTCAGTTTATTGATACAAGACAAAACCATTTTGAAAGTCATACATCTTCTGAGAAACAAGTTCCGAAAATTACATTTGTCAACTGTCCAATTTCAAGCTGGATATCAATTTCTCCATGATGCCAAAGAGTCATAAATGTTAAGCATTGCATTACGTGTGATGGCTACATTTATCCCCAATAAGCATTAGAAACAAAGCAGGACCTTAGGGGACCATTTTTATAACATTGTATATGTAGTTTGTAACCAAATATCTTGATTGACAAATTCTTCCATTAATCTTTTTTTAACTCGAAGGATACTCCAATAAGCAAACCCAGAGAGGTATTCAGACTGTCAACAGAGATCAAGTCTTGCGATATCCTTGTCTGTGCTTCTATTCATTTTACATCTCCTACATGGGCAGCCTTGTCAGATGGAACAGGAAAGCTGTATCTCCTCAGAACAGGCAAACGTGGAGCAAATGATCTTGAAAAATGGGAGGTAAGTTACAGTATATTGTTACGTCAAATAAAAAATTACCTCTTGGCTTGTAAATTAGCATTCCATGTTGGGGGTTAGACAAAGAGAACTGGAGCTTAGCTTTTTTCTTGAAAGAGAGAAGCGAAAAGGCATTGATTTAGCAATGGAATAATTGTACAAACTTTTAAAATAATGCATTATATTGATACTTCCCCTTCCCCATAGATCCTTGTGACATGGTAGGTGACGTCTGCATTATTGGCCTAAGTGTTCATCAAACCTTTGTATAACTTTATAGAGTTCTTGCTTTAATCTGAGAAACGTGCTGTGAAAAGACTTGTGTTAACACTTGTTCCTAAGGTTTCATCTTCTCTAAACTGTTTGTTATTTCATTAGTCTCCATCAGGCAATTATCAGGACCTGAACTCCCCCATTGTTTTTAAATTTGTAGAATCATAGAGATTACAGCATAGAAGGAAGCAATTTGGTCCATTGAGTTTAAACTCATCCATAGGAGCTATCTACTTGAATCCGAATTCCTTGTCTTTCCCTGTACCATCGTATATTCTTTCTCTTCAAATGTTTATCCAAGTCCCTGTTAAATGTTATGGTACCCTCAGCCTCGTGTGGCAAAGCACTCTGATAACCCACCCTGTGAAAAGTTGCTGTTAACTTCTCCTCGTAAAATCTTTCAGTAACTATTCTAACTCTTCCAGTGTAAAGAACAAATACATTTAGAGCTAAAGTATAATTCTTAGGTACAATTTGGGTTTGGATGTACACTAAAATGTGCATTAGTCACACAATTTTGCAAGTAAATCAGAAAATGTAACTTGTGATCTGACTCTCAATGGAAAGAATCGATTGTACAGAACAGATAGCTGTTAATAAGCAACTCCAGTTTAGGATGTTTCATTCAATGATCCAACTTGTACTTTTTGAAAGTATTTGGATCCAGTATTTTACCCTGTTTTTTTTTCCTCCTCGTCCTTGTAGATTATATTTCAACACGAACTTGGAGAGCCCTTTTCGATCATCCACAGTCTATCATATGAAAAAGAAAATGTGCACTCAATAGACATTGTTTTGCTCAAAGTTGAGAAAGATGAATATAATGTCATGGGAAGTGGATTTCACTCAGTAATAGAGTGGCTGACTGTCACCAATATGAACAGTGGTAAGTTCTAGCCTATCTACTGCCAGATCCCTTTCTGAGATTATATGCCCAATACAAAAATGTTTATGTAAAATTCAGAATGTAACATAAAAATGTTGGAAGCTCACAGCTGTTTGCAAATTTTGTAAATAACTCCTTGGTGGTGGGGGTTGTGGGAGGAAGTCGGTTTTAATGTGTCTGGGAAAATATCTAAAGGTGTAAAACAGTACAAAATGGTGCACAGATACTGTAAGCATTAGTCAATAGTTTCTGTGTTCACTGTTGTGTTTTTAAAATTTAGAAATTGCAATTCCTGATTCTTATAGTATAATAAGTTCACATTATCATTACAACACAATATCAAAAGAATAATGAACACTTGGAATTCAATTTAAAGCAACAATAGTCTTGGAGTTCACGCTTAATTTAGAAATGCCACCTGAACCCCAGGATTAGTTGAATACATCAGAATCTTTAAAATGACTCAAGACTAGACTCCTTTCATCTGAAGAATCTTGCACAATATCCAAAGGAATGATTACTAATCCCTATAATGCCACAATTGGATGCCAAAAATATTCCTGTACTGAGTTGACCAAAGTCCAAAGTCGGGACTTCTCACAGACGTATATTCCATAGTATTCCATATATTCCATATTCCATAGTTCCTTTCAGAGCACTGATTTGAATACTTGTCTTTTGAAAGGTGTTTTGCTTACTAAATTTCCTTCTGCTGGTAGTGGATATTTTATTACTTCCAGAAGATCCTGCTGTCTGAATCCTTATATTGCTAATTTGAAAATTTGTTTTGAATAATTGATACTATATTGTGATATTTTGCCAATCATTTGTTATTCTTGCTGTCTCAATAATCATTCAGTTTCATTTTGCTGATGCACCACATCATGTTTCTGTGCTATAGAGCCAGGAAGATCCCAGGGTTGATCTTTAGAGGCTAATCCATGAGGTGTACTCTCACGCACCAGGCTCGCTCTCACCCTCGCCCGACTCCAATGGCTCCCTATCACCCAGAGGATCGAATTCAAGATCCTCGTCCTCATTTTCAAGGCCATCCATGTCTCCCGCTCGACCCGCCCTACCATCGATGGCCGGGCGTTCAGCCTCTCTGCCCCCACACTCTGGAACTCCATCCCATGGTCCCTTCGCCTCGCTTCCTCTCTTGCCTCCTTCAAGGTCCGTCTCGAGACCCTTCTCTTCGACCGTGCCTTTGGTCCCCCTCCCACCTCTCTGCCTTCCCTCACTCCTACACCACCACTCCCCCGTGCTCGGGCCCTGACACCTGACTGTTCAGCGCTTTGGGACATCCTCCTGACGTGAAAGGCGCTCTATAAATGTCATTTTGTTGTTGTTGTTGTAAAACTAGTTACATGAAACTTTATTTCTATGTGCTTGTAGAAACCAGCAAGTATGAAATATCAAGACATAAAACTCTGCATGGAAAATCAGCTCCAAACTATGTAGCTGTAGAGCATGGTGGCACAGGCCTTATGATAGCTTCTGACAAACCTTTTAAATTTGTGGAAAATGATGGGAAACCTATCAAGGAGCAGAAAGAGGAAGTAATGGATACCACTGAGAAAAAAGGTAACCAGGCTTTTACTGTTACTATTTGAGGTCATATCTAAATAATATAGATATAAAGAAATGCAATTAAATGTATCAAATGCTGTACCAATTGCTAACACAAGTCAACCTGGAGGTTAATTTCTGGAGGTTTCGCAGAAAAGCTGAATTGCCAGTGAAGCACTGAAATAGAAATCGCGATAATCCTCAGTGAGCACTCCAGTCAAGAACGTTTTCAGTGACTTGGTCGATGAAATGCTATTGCACGAACAAAAGCTCAAAGTTGTTCGAAATATTCTGTTGCATGAAATGAGCTTTCTTGTGAAGATACTATGACAATGCTGATTTATGTCTCATCCCTTGTCATTTATGAGGATGAATCCTAAAATGTATAAATAGCGTTCGACAGGAGGAATCAAAGTTAATGAAACAATGGTGTTGCAGTTGCCCCGGGGAACAGAGCATCAGATTGCATTTGGTACTTCAGAGGCTGCATTTGAAATGTATTAACTTTTATTCTCATCTTCATAAATAATCTTTAAATTAATCTAGCGAAAACCTTGACATGAATTTCACACATAATATAATGCCGAGAAAAGCTTTGATCTGTAATATTGTTATTGTCGCTTACGAGTGCTCCAGCAGAGCACTTTTTTGCTGCAATTAACTTTTGTGACAAATGGAATCTGTGGAGGAGAATTTTATAAATTGAAAACGGCGTGATCTTTGTACTTAAAAGTATTTGTGTTTTATACAGGCGTAGGTCAAGATCAAGCAGCATTGTTTGTTTGTTTATATACTTTCAAACTGCCATTTACTTGATTTCTGACTCTGTGATTGACAGGAGCTCAAGTGTGTTTATCAAAAACATACATTTTGAAGTTCAGTTATGTTGTAAAATGGGATACAGTCTACTTTTCACATAGACATCTCAAAATATACAGTCAAATCACTTTACAATACATACTGGTAAGCTCTTTGAGATGCCTCGGAAGACGTGATAAGGCACTATATCAAATACAAGGATTATTATTATCTCGAAGATGTGATAAGGTGCTATATCAAATGCAAGTATTATTATTATTAAAAGTATTGAGACTTAAATGACCGTTTATGAAATATATAGAAAGACGACAAATGCCACTTATGCAAAAACATAAATTCAGCCAGATCATCTTTAATGCCAGTAGACTTCAGAATGGAATGTGTATTGTTGCCCTGGAGAGGCACACCCTGCTTTACCTAATCCCAAAGAGTATTAGGTGCAGGTTGGCAAGTGTACGGCTTGGTACTTTCAGTGTGCATTAACGGACTGCTATAATTTAACCAGCTAAATCAGATAGCTTGCCTTTGAAAGCACCGTCTCGCAAGCTTTCTGCTGCTTTTCCAGCTGGGGGCTACAAGTCTGTTCGGGCTTTAGCTTCCAGGATTAGTAGATTCAAATATTCCCACTAATGTGTACCACAATGCTGTTAAAATACCAAGTTAGCTTTCAAGACTCCAGATTTCTACTTCAGTCTCAACTGACATGAGTTCTCCAATGTTATCCAGCAATAAACATTCATCTTTGACTTCCATCAACCCTCAACTATCCTTTGAGAGAGATGAACAGTTTGTTTATCTTTGTCTCTATTAGTATTTCATTAATATTCTATGCCAACAAAATGAAATACTAATAGAGACGAGCTGTTCCATTAGAATAGCTTATCTCTATAAGTATTTTGTTTTGTTGGTATGGAAATCTGCAGAGTTTGAACCTTCCTGGTGGGAAGCTGACCTTGTTCTCAGACTCAGATTTTCATGGTTTCTGCAGGTACTTGACATAGTCTCCAATAAGGCCTGCTCAGACAACTGACATTGATTGTCTCTAAAACTGATCACTCAGGATCCTGTGAAACGAGAATTTGTCAATTCTTTGACAAATTTGTAAAGCTAAACTGACCTTTGTGAATTCCAAATGCCAAATTCCTATGGCATGGAACTCAAAAAGTGTATCTTGCTCAGGATAAATTTAGTATCTTCCTCACGTCTTGCATGGACGACTTCTATTGTAACCTCTGCCCTCACTGATTGAGTAATTTATTTTAAAATCAAAAACAACAACAAATTACATTTGTATAGCACCTTTCCCGTCGGGAGGACGTCCAAAGGTGCTGAAGACAGAGTCCTCAAGGAATAAAAATATGGGGATTCTTTAAATGCCAGTGCCTTCTCATAATGCACGTTGAGAGGATGTTTGTTTCATGGTGGCTAAGATTCAGATTGTGGTTCAGATTCAATTTGTGTTTCAGACAGACAACAACAACAACAGCAAATTACATTTGAAAGCGCCTTTCATACTGGGAGGATGCCCCAAGGCGCAGGTCCCGAACTGGGCTTGGGTTCATGAAGGGAGAGTAATTAATTAATTAAACATTCTCTAATTACAAATATTTGACTTGATCGATCAAAGACTGCCTCTTTGTAGGCGCAGGGACTTCTGATACTGATTTCTTTACTCATTCTGATTGCATATCGCTATCCTATAAAATACGTTTGTGTGAAAGATGTCCTTCAATGATAAGGCTTTTTTGCTGATCTGTTAAGAGGATATGCTGGAATGTTAAAATAAACCTCAGCAGATTCTTAATATTCCTTGCATTTGATATAGTGCCTATAATGTTGAAATGTCTCAAAGCTCTTTGTAAGTAATTGCTGGCAAGTGTATATTTTGCAGGCAAATGAGAAAGGCAATTTGCACACAGAAGCTCCCATAAATGGACATGATGTGAATAGTCAATTTATCTGGGGAATTGTTGTTCAGGAGAGAAGCTACAGCCGGATTGTGCCTGAATTTGGCTTTTCACCCACTCCACGTATACGTATTGATAGCGCCTTTGGACCTAAGATTCCAATCTCTCAATGTTCTGTTTTATTTTTGCTCTGTGTAACTTTTTTGGCTTCATCAAATTTCATTTCACTTGTTTGTGGGATATTGCTAGTAGGTTTTAAGGCAGGATTTAAAGTCATATAGAAAGGGTGAAATAGTATGCAATATTATTTATTTAGAGATCATCCTCATATCTTATGATGGTGCTTTTAAATAGTTTCCATCTGCCTTGTGATTTGGGCAGATGCAAAGGGACTGCCCTGCTGTTATTTCAAAGAAATGTTTTTCTCATGGTTATCCTGGATCATATTCTCCTCCAAATATAAATTACCTCCATATTCAAACCAATTGGCTGCTCATAATTAAACAATAATCATTGGATTTGATGTAATGCTTTTCATGTTGGAAGGACATCTCAAAGTGCTTAATAAGATTTACTGTAAAGCGCAGTGACTATTTTGTAGGCTAATGTGGCAGCCAATTCGCAATGGGGCTGGGGAGGGTGGAGGCAGCGAGATTGGCCGAAGGCGTGGTCGAAGAGGAGGGTTTTGAGACGCACCTTGAAGGAGGCAAGGAAGAGAGAGAGGCGAAGGGATTGTGGGATGGAGTTCCAAAGGATGGGGGCAGAAAGACTGAAGGCCCCACCGCCGATGGTGGGCTGGGTTGGGCAGGGGACATGGAGCAGGCCACAGCCTGCTGAGCGGAGGGAGCGGACAGGTCGATATGGGATCAGCAGGTCACAGAGGTAGGAAAGAGCAAGGTTGTTGAAGGCCTTGAGGTGAGGACGAAGATTTTGAACTCTATCCCCTGGGGATGGGGAGCCAGTGGAGCCGGGCGAGGGTGGGAATGATGGGCTCACGGAGCCTGGTGCGGGAGAGAACTCGAGCTGCAGAGTTCTGGATGATCTGCAGCTTGTGGAGGGAAGGCCGACAAGCAGGGAGTTGGTGTAGTCGAGCCTAGATGTGATAACAACAACAACAAATTACATTTATATAGCACCTTTCACATTGGGATGTCATCTCTCTCAATAAATTCATCTCCTGATAATAAAACTCTAACCTGCCCAATCTTTCTTTGTAGTTGTATCTACGTGTTCCTGGTAACATCCCAGTAACTCGATGCTGCACAATAACAACAGCAAAAAATTACATTTGTATAGCGCTTTTCACAACAGGAGGTGCTGGACAGTCAGGGTGATTGGGATCAGGAAGGATGAATGGCGGGGAGGTAGGGATAGAAGGGTGACCGAAGGCACGGTCGAAGAAGACGGCCTTGAGACAAATTTTAAACGTGGCAAGGGAGGGGGCGAGGTGGAGTTGGGATGGAGTTCCAGAGGATGGGGGCAGAGAGGCTGAAGACCCGCCTGCCAATGGTGGGGCAGGCAAGGCAGGGAACGGTGGCAGATTTTTGCAGTGCAGAGTAGTGCAAACGACACATCTAACCTACTATTCTTCCATCTTAAGTATACCACCTCAAATTTTGCAATAGACCAGAAATGTTGTCATTCACAGTGGTGCTTGGAATCGTAAGATCCCTTATTATTTCACCAGTATGTCATGGGGAGAAGGTTTAGAATCAAATGCTTCTTTGAGTTTTTAACAGTGGCCACCAACACTGTCCTCTCTAATACTGGAAGAAAGTGAAACTAGGTTCACAAGAGAGCAAATGATAAAGATATTGAGCTTTTGGAGTCTAGATTAACTTGTACAATATAATTGTGTTGTGTAGCATTTATCAGTACAAAATTGTGTCCAGTGGTGTTTATCATTATTGAGACTAAATTGTCTTGTGATTGAATTTGAGATAAATAATATTTATGTTCCTCTGGTTTTGTGCATCAGTATTTCTTTTCTGAAACATTCGGAGATATGTAGGGAGTACGCATACTTCCACATCAAGTACAGGACAGGATTATTGTTTGCCTGGGTCATGATTCAGCTGTGAAGTCCGAACATATATGCATAACCGCAGTTGCGATCTGGAGGAATAGAATCTTCTTCCAGGATCATCTGAATGAAAACTATTGAACAGAATCAAATCTGAATTGACATTTGAATATTTTGCAGTATAGAAACTTACAAAGCACAAAGAATTTACTATATTGAGCAGAATATTTAGTTTGCAGAGTTTGCTGCTTTGATTACATAAGGAT